CTTTATTCTTTTCTTTACAATAAGGCTTTCAAATAAGTCATGGCTGTACGGCAGTGAAGCATTAGTGTTGAACACTGATGTCATGCTGTCGTTGATGATGATGATGATGATGATGATGACATAAAAAAACCCGCTGGCAAACCCCAACATCAAAAGCAACGTAAACTGGACTTTAGCCTAAAAATCAATGCTTTTAATTGATACACAGCGCAGCCATGAACTAGCACGAAAAGCGATATATTTACTCTGTTTTTTATATAAGCAGTCTGGACTGAATAATTTTTCTTATTTTTAGACTGCTACACCATCCGCACTGATGTTTGAGCGTCACGGCTTCGTGGTCATTCACTTATATTTACCAGACGAACGGTACTACTCATAGTTACTGAAAATCCTTCTAGAGACCGTGACTTGTTTCGCCATTCTTGCACTGCATAATGAAGCTTAAGAGTGGAAAAAGCGATCTTGCATTGGAGAATGGTCTTCAGCAGCCTTGTGCCTGGTGCGCACGGTACGCGATGTCTCCAACATCATGCCAACGTAAAGATGAGGTGGCCTTTATGCAGCACATACGGCTGAATCTTCTGTTACCACCGTAACGGTTCACAAATTAGCGCACTTATGCGGATAAGCACAATCTAGTTCTACTGATTGATCCTGGCGGTGATCTAACCGATACTAAAAATTAAATCTCCATCACCAAATAGTCATCTCGCGAAACCAAACATTCCTCGGGAGTGGTCGTTGGCTTGTTCGCTGAACTGAGCAATTCGGTTGCAAACGTTTCATCGTCAATAGTTAGGGGTTAGAGGAACAACTACCAACCCACCGCTACGCGCAACTACGCACTGATGATGTCACTTCGATTGGCGATGAAACGTTTGCAACCGAATTGTTCAACTCAGCGAACAAGCCAACGACCGTCTACGCTACCTGAGGTACCGAAATTCTCCTCTATAGAATTCCTCGAGTCTCCTTGCCTGATCCAGGTTTAAGTGAATTCAGTAAAGAAACTCGTGGGTTTTCGGTCGCTTTTAAGGCTTATCTCATTAGTAATTTTTATCTGGCCGAAAGCAGGCCAGCTGACTCTGCCATCGTAGGCTTGACCCTATTTCGTTCTATTCCTCGCTACTGACAATTCAAAAGTAAATAAACTAAACGACAGTTATGGTTAGCAATTCAGGCTGTTGACATGTAGGTGCCTCAGCCCCTAGAATTACTCTTTAGGAACCACCTGCAGTATTTGCAAGCAAGCATTTATGGCAGTCTACCAGTCTGCAGAGTAGAAATCAGTGTTGATTACTGGTCTTTCTGGTGGTCGTTGGCTTGTTCGCTAAGTTGGGCAATTTGATTGCAAACGTTTCATCACCAATCGAGGTAACATCATCAGTGCGTTATTGTGGAGCGTAGTAGTGCGTAGCGGTGGGTTGGTGGTTGTGCTCAGCGAACAAGCCAACGATCACCATCTACGATACCTGAGCTACCAACATTTTCCTCTATAGAAAACTGGTCTTTCTATTCAATCTAGGTTATGTTGGTGCTTAGCAGAGAGTGAAGCTCACTAGAACGCTCGCCGGTTGAGCGGCACACCAAAATTTGGACTGCACTGGTCCCAGGTTAGAGTTCCAGTGGATAACTACCACTGAAAACGTCGGTTTTGATAAAAGAAGATCCGCGTATGCAAGCTCCACAAAAAAACGCTAAGAATATATGCTGCACTGCTTGACACAAAATAAGAGGCGATTGTTCTCGCGCCAGTCATAAATAACGAAAATGTTATCCGAAGCAACTTCCATATCTTAGAATAACCCGTATAAATAAATAAATCTTGTTGGGAAATGTCTCCACTCATTGACAAAGACAGAAAAACGAACTTCCGTTTCACTCTCCTTAACATCCATTGCGTGCATCTCACTAAAGTCAGTGTGGGTCAGGTACCGAGTCTTTCTGTTGGTTCGGCTTAGCATCCGCGAGCAAACTGACAAACCTGAGTCTTATGATCCAGAGGCATCAACAGCCCCATATTCTGCCACGTTAGGAAACTGGGGTTTCCGGAACACTTTAATAAGATCGAGGCTTGTAATGTGCACCTTTTTTATGGCAAGAACGAGGATGGGAGATGCTCCATGAAACCTGGTAATGTGAATTCAATTCGTAAACCCCAAAATCTCACAACATTCATCGGTTAGCTCCTCGTTTTTTTTGGTTCATACCACTGCACGAATAATAAGTTGCTAGTGACAGACGGCTGATTTGGGTCGAAGTTAGACCTCTATTCTGTAAATCATACCAGTAATTTATTAGATGAGAGACTCACAACCACTCAGCCATATGGGTTATATAAGATCCATTTGCATGGAGGAAATGTAGAGGACCGTGTGCTGTGAATCAGCACAATTTTAAACGATTCCTGGACTATCACGACCAATAAAGCGACACCATTCTATAGAGAAAAATGTTGGTAGCTCAGTAGCGTGGTTGTTTGAGAACAACCACTAATTCACCACTACGCTCCCCAATAACTCACTGATGATGTCAGCTCAATTGGTGATGAAACGTTTGCAATCAAATTGCCCAGCTCAGCGAACAAGCCAGCGACTTAGGGTATAAGAGTGGTTCACTTCGTTACCGCACTGACAATTGGATCGACAATGCTCAAATTCATTTTCATCTTTCACTAACAGAAAGTTATTCAACTTTCCAACGAAAACGTTCTCACAAGGCTAACTGACCTACAACTGAGGCTGATCATAATTGGTCTGTTTCTCGTTCGCGCACTGATCATGGAGGTGAGAAATTTATACCTAATGATTTTCAGTGTTCACGGCATTTTTTATTATGTAACCGTTTTTTCACGTCCAACTTACGCGCATAATGAGAATGAATCCTTAGGGAACGCTCTTCAATATTCCGTTAGTACTTCGAATATGATTGATTGTGTCGTTCAAAGTAATACCGTGAATGAAAAAGCTAGAGGTATTCGAGAAATTCAAGGACGTCTGGCCCACCAGTACTAGTCACTGATTGATTAACACAAACTCTTGCTATTACTTTATTATTATTCACCGAACTATGAATCACCAGTACACATGCACTGGTAGTGCATTTGAAAAAGACCATTGCTGACATGGAAAAAACCAACAAGAAACGGCATGTTATGAAAAAATTGGGATAGGATTGTTTCTTCAGTAAGTTAGAGTCCCTCTGATGCTAGGTCAGTAAAGTACCTTGAAACTGTGAGACATCACGATTTTGGACCGTAAATGGTCTCGCACGAGATATGAATATAGCCCCGAAAAATACTAGATACAAAAGAGTATTAACTACCTCTGTGTAATATTTTGACAATCATCCAAGCATTTATTGACCGAGACACATTATGCGATTAGAACGACGTTCTGTGGACCCGAAGGGAAATTCCTAAAGTCGAACTTGGCGGAGATGTTCCTCCAGTCAGGGATGGTATACAACAAACTTACGCGTATGTGTTGCATTGAGCGGGCCACGGTAGCGCCCCTGAGTCTTCAATAACCGTAGGTTTTTTTTTGTTCACCTGCATTATGCTAAGTGATTTTCCAAAACGGCTTTGGTATACATTGTTTGAAACATCTTGTGCACCGCGGTTGTTTACAGTAAGTGAAATAATTCTTTTATGTTTAACGAGGAATGNCTAGTCTAACCAGATGTTCATAGCCGCAGGACGAATTCCAGGACTTTAGGGGAAGGGTTAGGGACCATATGCTCACGTACTCAAACTCTCATAATGCTGATTGTAACTCATGCTGAAATATTTTTGTTCATCGTTGTTGCTTTTCTGATAACCCCGGTATTTCCGTCACCCCCAGCTTATCAAGAAGTGTGCTTGGGCGATTTGGTTGCTCACATTGTGCCGACGAACCAGAATAATGAAAGATTGGAGGGTCCGTGGAAGGAGACATTATAATTACTAACAATAGTAGTAATAATAATTCTTCAGTGTTTTTATGTCTACTGAAATGCATCAGCTTAGCACCAGGAAATCACCTGTATAGTAGGTTGAACTCAGGCAGAGATGAAGGAAATCTGAAAATCCAGTAATCCCGAAAACTAGCTGGGGCACAAGTTTGCTCACAAATACGACGTAGAATATGCTCTTACACAGCGGGGGGAGGGGGGCTCATGTTAACGCATCCGATGATAAAATCCGTATTATTTTGACTTTTTCTACGTTACCCCGAACCAACCCGGTTCAGGCTTCTCATAACGCCCTCTGAAGGGCACGAATGACACGGAAGTTACGAGGAATCATCTAAATGCGACCGATATACACGACTTAAATTAGAGCCAGTGGAACAGTTTTGCTGAGTGCAGACTTGGGAAACCAAATTTTAAAGCAAAAGCTAATTTCGAAGGTCAAGTCCTGGATTCAAACGCCCGGCCTTGCAGCCAATGTCAGAGGCCCAAGTGATACTAGTCTGTTCAAATAAAACCCATGAAAACTTCAGCAAAAGCGCTTACTATCCACAGCTTCACAAGGACACACCTAGACTGGGTGGACAATGCATTTCCTTAGTTGGAACTACAGAGGGCATTTAATCGCGTAACAAGTACCCGGGACTTATCAGGATTGCTCCCGGGTTGGTTTCGATAAGATGCATCCTACTCTCATTTTTTTTCAAAAAGAATCAGCAGACCTTATGTATACAAAGAAATCAATCTATTCCACCAAATTATCGTATGACGTATTTGGTAGTGCTTCTCAGATCATTCTGTACATCTGTATTTAGATTCTACTCGAACCGCAGCACCTGGGTTTCGAGGCAAAACCCTTGATGACGGAAGAGGAAAATTTTAGAATCCTGGCCTCGATTTTCGTCTATGTATATCGAATAATTGTACACGATTCGGAGCTGAGAATGACCAGGAAGTTTGGACTAAAGTTTCGGCCGGTGGTAAGATCCTCGCTGTTTGTTTGTTTGTTACACAAACATTTTACCGCCGATAAAATGTCTGCCCCCCCCCCCTCTCCAATCTACTAAGGCTTTGAGATTTTGTTAATTCGAGTCATCACACTTGCTCTGCGCCATGCAGTTTCTGGAAACTGCCTCCGGTGTCTTCGAATATTCCGAACCTCGTTCGTCAGTCTTCGTATATTCCGATGTTGGGAATCAGCACACAACAAAAACTCCGCAACAAGTGACCTTTCGCTAAGGGGTATTTTTTAGCTTTCCTATTGTTGTAATTCCCATGAGAATTAGAGCCACTCGCTCAAGTAGACAATGAATATTCAACAGCACTGCGGAGACAGTGTTGGCTGTGTTTATCTAACCCCTTGTGTTTAAAATCCCTTGGTTAAAAACATCATGAGAGATTCATTTGGGTTCCAGGTGAGTCTCCCACAAAACCGAATTGGTTCGCAAATTAGTATTTCCCCCGTGTTGTTCTTTTCGATGACAACCTGTAGATGAACAAGTTCCACCACTGACGTAACAAAATACTTCGTTTTAATGAAATTGGTGACCACAATAATGCCCCTAACCGACGCAAAGTTCGAAGCCTCTATCGGACATTCTACTATAACCGATAGACAGTGAAAACGAAGCAGGATATTTACGCGTGTGTCCAGTCTTGCTCCAAGGTGTATGACCTGAGACGGGGCCGTTTGTTGTGCAAGTTTCCAACAACACACTATTCACCCAGGTCTTAAAGGGCACTTGTTGGAATTTTTACAGTTAATGGGCAACCAATAACTGAATTGTAAAGCAAAAAGACTATCGATGTAAGGAATCGTTATTCTCAACTCCAAAAGTTGCTACAGAGACGGAGGACTGCAACGTACTCTAATCCGGCGTTTGATCAGTGGGGTATATCTTAAAGTAACCGTTCGGGGAGCACACTTGGAGAAGTGGACATTGTTATTGGACCGAAGTGGTTGCAATTTAGGAGAAAAGATAACGACCTAAATATAAGTACTGTGTGTCCGTGTTAGAGTCATGCGAAATGCCACGCTTCGAGGATCCAGACTCGCTAGCTTGCCCGCTTATATTCGTCCTGTGACGATAGTAAGTTCCTACAAGAATCCATTTACACAATACTCTACTGGAACGACTGTCACCTGAATCCGTCTCAGTTCCGTAGCTCGAACAGGCCAAGTCTCGCAGCCATACAGCAAAACAACCAGCACTGTATCCTGATTGGGACTCAGGGATATACTGCTTTGACGCTATAGGTGTCTCAAATTAGCAAACGCAACCCGAGCCTTGCATATTCTTGCACCGAACTCATCTATCACACTACAATCAGAACTAATACAACTTTCAAGGTTGATTCTTGCACTAAGTTACTCCAAACTCATGTGATCATATCTTGCGTACAGTAAGAGACAACACAGACAACTTTGAAGTTATCAGCTTTTGGTGTTACAACAAACATTACGGTGTTCGTTTCGTAGTACATCTGGTGCGTATTCTCTCACCTCCCAGAAAATGAAAGGGATGTTGGCGCAAAGGCTAATACCGGACAAACAAGTTCGGAAGATAACGAGGCGGTTGGGTCAACTAACCATAGAAAGTTACATGGTAAGTGATCACTCACAACCCATGATTAATATTATGTGCCTGAACGTTGGTATTTCACCGCTACGCCAATAATGTTTTATAGAAACGACTACAATCGTGGGCGTCAGACTACGGGAAGCAGATTGCAAAGTCGCACAAAATGGCGGTGCACTCTCCACTGACACAATATAAAGACATGGAACAAAGGTGGAGTTGGAGCTTTTCAGAAAAAATGTATAATCTGTCTGAAGAACATAGAAAGAGGAATACTATGGCTACCATGAACTGACAGCAGGTGTTTTGATTGTCTTTCGTACCGGGTTGACAAGGGGACGGGGTAAATGCATAAGTAAGTCATTCAAGATAACATAGAAGCGTTGGTCCGGCATTGATCTAACATTTCCTTCAACTCCACGTAGAGTCGCTGAAGGCGTAGATTGAGTGCGAATAGAGTAAGCAGTTCCATAACGAGTTCGTGCTTTGAAATGCCCTGGAACAAGAAAGAACTGAACGTAAAATGGACGTGTCACACGGCCCATTTAGAACAAGTTCCTTACCTACTGTTCCGTTTTCTCGGCTGAGCAATTTGGCTGCAAATCATTCGTCGCCAACTGAGTGGACAACATCAGTGCGCATTGACTTCGGGATGTCAGCGTATAGTAGTAGCAGTAGTAGTGTGTGTGAGTAGAGTTGCTTGCAATGGAGCAATTAACGGTCGACCCCGGTGTAGATGCGTATAGGCCGTCAACCAGTGGTGTATACAAGATGAACACGGGAACTTTGGGTAGTTGTCCAGCTACGTACTTTATTCGGTCGCGCAACCAAATGTCCGCTACCGTCTGGCAACGCCAAGTAAAGTGATACTACACTGCGGTCAGTGGTTATCCGTAGCCACAAACTGGTTTGCTGTGCAACTTCTTGTCGCTGGCCGACCTCCAAGCCATTTCAAAGAACAAACCGATAAAAAACGGACGCAATGTAGTGTAACAGTCGTTTCCCAACATGCCCCAAGCAGCGGTACGAACTAAACTCGGACACAGAGCAACTCTGACCGGCTTTGATGTTGACTGAATGGTGCTTACCGCGGTAAAGGTGGAAAAAATCTTAAGAACGGCACAAATAATCATTGTGACGAAAGGCAACTTATTGCCAAAGTGTACATGACACCGGTATGAGATAAACTGGATAATAAAGACTCAAGGATGTATCTTAACGACTGATAGATAAAATCTCGTTTCGAACATTTGCAAATTTTGTTTGGGGGAAGCGCTTAATAAGATATTCCGCGAATATTTCACACATTTCCAGATGAGAGCTTTCGATCTAAGAACATGAGAAAAACTAGTGATGATCTTTCCTAACAATTATGATGAAAACCTTGCAAATTCTACACGAGTGAACGAATCACCTGTCTACGTTGAACCTGCCTGGGTATACAAGAGCTGTAACTGAAAAGTCCAACAAAGTGAAAGCGGGCTTTTGGTAAAACACTCACGTAAGGTACCCAGATAGACAGTGCTTCAAACATTTCGATACCTCGTGCATTCTGAGGATTGACCGCATATGTGAGTTTTCTCGACGACTAAATTAAACTCTAAATCCAAAGAGCAGTGGTCGTTTGAGCAAAATCGAAATAATCGAAATCACCCAGCTGTAACACCCTTTCAGTGCCTAACTGCCATGCGACCAGAAGGAAGCATGATGGCTTGGATACTGCTTGGATACTGTCTAGACAAGAGAAGTGGAGATGCAGAGGTCAGGCTCGAACCATGGACTTTCCGATCAGTAAATTCGCACTCTAAAACTTAATGTTGGATTTCGACCTCTAAGTGAAACCATTTTATGTCGGAAAGCGGAGAAGCACTGCAGAGCTGTTTAATTCTTATCGGGAAACATCAGCAGTTCGCATTTCACAAAACTGGAGACAGTCCCGAACCCGCGATACGCAGGCTAGTGGTCTGGCACCTAACCGTATGTCCAGGAACAACTGTTCGGTGATGTGATTAACCCTCACCCTCAATAAGGATCCGTCATCTGTACACTGATTCTTCGCTCCTCAGCGGTACGAAATCTTCAGTAAAAATCCCAATACGTAGCTCGGACGAAGAATGAAATTCACCCTGAGTAAAACTTCCATGTGAGAAGTTGTTGCTCGATGAACCAGTGAACATGTGTAGCCACGTGATTCGGATCCCGTGACTGGGGATGAGTGGCCCTATATCACAGCGCTGATCAACCGCTCCTGGCCGAAAGGCTAGATGTCCAAACTACTAACCAGGGGGTCGAGAGTTCGGGAAGTTCTCGAGTTTCATGAGGTGCATACTGTTTATAATTCTCATTCAGGAAGGGACAGCTGTACGGTGCTTCTTCGCTTCTCGGCATAGGTTGGCTTGATTTACACGAAAAAATCTCCAATAAAATTCCCACATCTCCTCACACTATGAACCTTTTGACTTGGTGGTTTTTTCAATAAATCCCTGCCACTCCTGCTTCTTCTCACAGTTTACTAGGGCATCATTCCTCAATTGCTGTGGGTCACTTGAATATCAGTAGGTACTAGCTGCGTTGCTATGCATTATGGGTTGATATCTGTCCATTAATGCATCCTAATAGTGTTTAGGTCTTCCCTGCAACTGTAGCGCAGTCAGTGACGTACGGATAAGTCGTCCGAGATGCGCCCATTATATAAATGGGAAATCACCCTACAAAAGTCATTATAGGTGTTTAAGGGGACGGACCAAGAACAGTCACTGTAAAGAGATGGTCGTTGTACAGAAGCACCACTGTAATTTCACTAAATGTCTCGCGGTTGATCGTACTTTCATTAGCGTGGTGACTGCATGTTCCAGATCGAGCATAAAAACAAAGAACACTAACAGAGCCGCAGAAGCTAGTTGTGAACCAACAAGACATTCAACAAAACTCACTTTAACAGTCGGTTGCCAAGATGTCCGAGAATTTCCGAATATCGGGCCGATGAGATCTTGACATATGTGACGTATCTGATCCTCCTGATCTACACAAAAAAATAATAACCCACACGTTTGTTTTTAGCATCAACACCCGGAGACACTAGGGAGTATCAAGACTACAAAGCCACCGAGGACTTCTGAGACAGTCATTTAGCCACAGTGAAATCTGACACTTCTGTGTAAAGCTGAAAAAGTGGGTATGCAGAGAATTCACGTGCACAACGAGACTGCTTTGGGCTCCATGACATTCTGCATTCCTCATAGAAGAATCACAAATCCTGAAGGAGAGTAGCACACAATAACAGAAAACTGCGAAGCAGTTTCCAGAGAAACACTGTAAATGAACCCAATAACTCGTGGTTTGTCACAGAGCAGTAAGCGTTGACAGTGTAGCCACTTACCGTCTTCGACTAGCTGCCTAAACCATCGGATGAACCAGAATCGATATTCAGCTGAAGAACCAAACAACATGGCATTGTGTGTTTGGGCCTCTAGGAAACGTCGAACGGTCAGTCGTTGGTTCTGAACAGTATCTGACCTGAAGAGAAGATAGGAAAATGCTGACTCGCGGGGTCAAATACGATAATAGGTAGAATGAAACAGATGACTTGCACCAGGCATCAATTACTTAGGATCAATAGCAGATACAGCGGACAGGAGAGCCCTGAGTGCTTGAATCTTTGTTGCACCTGTGGCTGACCATCCATCCCGGAATCTGTTATTTCTTCGAGAAGCCAGCCTCTCTTAGAAGCGGCCTCTTTTCCAATGTAATGTGTTATCGCTAGTAATTAACGAAGACGTCTTAGTTCGTTGTAGGGCCACCTCAAGTTATTTATGGGAGACTGGACTGTTTTTAATTGCTGGTCATTGTTTTAAACTCTGCCAGTTGCCCTAATGTGCTTGATCGTGATTGGTCCAACCCCTGATCTGTTCCGGAGCGAACTGCGTCAAACGAACGCCTTCTGATCAAAGTGCACCGAGTGTCCTAACTGCGTCACTGAATAACACAAACGAATCTTTTCGACTAGATGGTGATGTCCTGCGATCGCCTTCAACTGTGCACAGTGGAATATCGTGACCATGGACCGAATTCGTACGAGTATTGAGTGGTCACGTTAGTGCAAAGTAGGCATAAGATTTTCATAAAGGAAACTACTCACAAGGTTGCTGAAAACTCTTCGACAGCCCACCACCGGTTTCGCCCTTCTTGGGGCTCATCAGGTAGGCGCAGTCCCCGAGTTTCCGTCAACCTTATGATCCACTTGAACCCAAATTGCACTGTTTTCGAGAAATACATCATAAACGAGAGATTCAATTGAGTCACCCGTGAAAACCAGATTGGTAGGCATAAGATTGTTTAGCAAAATCGGTGAGTGGTGCGCGAATATTTTGTCATAACTAATTACCAAATGCGGACTGACCCGCGCGGAAAATAGTTGAGCAAATAACATCTGAAATCTAGTTTAGGGTTGTCTACTGGATTGAAAGTATGCTTAAGATTTCCAGAGTAGCAAGGGGTGTTTCACTTTGGAGTGGAATTCAATGTTTAGCTAGACTGGTTAAGTTTACGACAGTCCGGAAAGTGCTGATATATTAATCCGAGGTTAACAATTCACGTAGTCCAAAATTGTCATGTGAACTTCGAAAAGTTACGTTTTTTTACTTTTTTGGACAGGTAGTCAGTTTTCTGGCCTTTCTTGGGGTAAGTTAATCCAAATGAACTACATCGCGGAATTTTCGAGAAGGGGCGGTCTTCAAAGAGTTATAAGAAACGCCATAAACCTGGTTTCTTCCGGGATCTGGCGCCATCTAGGAGAATTATTAGATTCAAAGTATAAGCCGCACCTTAACAACAACCTTTCGATTCACACGGATTCGTCAGATAAACCGTATTAAATACGAATGCTAATTAGGTCTTCGTGTCTCCGGGATGTAAGCCGGAAAACAGGAAAATGATAAAATTCTATTCAGCTCATCAGAAGACAAGACTGGAAGAAAACAGGACCAAATCTCCAACGTCGTGGCAGCTCAAAATGCTCTGACAAGTAGTGTAACTGTTATAACCCGGTCACACTGGTCATTGGCTTTTACCTCTCTGACCCACGGACAATCATTAGTCAGCTGAAATAACACCAGCAAATCGATACGATATGAAAATAGCACAAAAATAATTGCTATGAGCGCGCGCATTTAACAGGCTCGGTTAATGTTTAGCAAAATCGGTGAGTGGTGCGCGAATATTTTGTCATAACTAATTACCAAATGCGGACTGACCCGCGCGGAAAATAGTTGAGCAAATAACATCTGAAATCTAGTTTAGGGTTGTCTACTGGATTGAAAGTATGCTTAAGATTTCCAGAGTAGCAAGGGGTGTTTCACTTTGGAGTGGAATTCAATGTTTAGCTAGACTGGTTAAGTTTACGACAGTCCGGAAAGTGCTGATATATTAATCCGAGGTTAACAATTCACGTAGTCCAAAATTGTCATGTGAACTTCGAAAAGTTACGTTTTTTTACTTTTTTGGACAGGTAGTCAGTTTTCTGGCCTTTCTTGGGGTAAGTTAATCCAAATGAACTACATCGCGGAATTTTCGAGAAGGGGCGGTCTTCAAAGAGTTATAAGAAACGCCATAAACCTGGTTTCTTCCGGGATCTGGCGCCATCTAGGAGAATTATTAGATTCAAAGTATAAGCCGCACCTTAACAACAACCTTTCGATTCACACGGATTCGTCAGATAAACCGTATTAAATACGAATGCTAATTAGGTCTTCGTGTCTCCGGGATGTAAGCCGGAAAACAGGAAAATGATAAAATTCTATTCAGCTCATCAGAAGACAAGACTGGAAGAAAACAGGACCAAATCTCCAACGTCGTGGCAGCTCAAAATGCTCTGACAAGTAGTGTAACTGTTATAACCCGGTCACACTGGTCATTGGCTTTTACCTCTCTGACCCACGGACAATCATTAGTCAGCTGAAATAACACCAGCAAATCGATACGATATGAAAATAGCACAAAAATAATTGCTATGAGCGCGCGCATTTAACAGGCTCGGTTAAAATGAAGAAACTTCAATGAGCCATCGAGGCGGTATGGCAGAACAACTGAACATGACATACCTGAGATCGTCTGTTTTGTGTGATTCAGAGCGCGGGCCAATCACTTTGTGTAACAATTGACAAGAAGCTAAAGGCCCTGAGGGGCATCCACGATAAGTACTAAGCGCCGCTGCACATCGCGCTTTATTTGAAGCGTCAAAAAGTTCCAGCCTGAAGTGGAGAAAACAGCAAACTACAAGGAACATATCACTTCTTGTAAATCAAATCGAAATGTGCAGTTCAGTAGCGGCATCCTCGTGGTACATGGCGGCCATGCGACCTGAAGGAAGATGCTACCAAGTTACCCGAGCTTAGGTAAGAACATTAGAAGAAATCAGGAGATTGAACAAAGCCAAGAAAACCCATAGTCACGAATTCGCACCTCTGTGACGATCATCTTTAAAAGTACTTCAAACAGCAAAACATTGCCATCCGCGCAATACCGTTATGATCCACATCAGCGGCAAGTGTCGTAAGATCGGATCAAGCGCATCTACATGAATGGGAAAGAAACATACTCTGGTCGTTCAAAAGCGTTTTCACAAAAAAGTGATTTGACGAATCCTCTGACACTACGACACTAAGCTATGACTTATTGACCTTGTCTTCGAGGAGCTCTACTGCAAAACAACAGAGCTTGATACGCAGACAGCAAGATCTTGGTGGTCTACTAACCCTTTGCAGTACTATAAGATTGTTTTAACAGTCATGGTCCTTAGTAGACTTCTGAGACAGTTATGCGTTTCTCACAGCCTAACACAAAAACAACCGCAACGGATGGGAAAACTAAACGGAATTTGACAGCTGTCGAGATTATTGAATAAAATCTTCGATTAACAAGTTTGTTGTTGATTGTAATTTTTCGTGTAAACTACTTTGTTTGAGTGGGTGTACCGTGAGTATTCCTTCTCGTTGATGGTGGAATGTGGAAGGATAGCAATGGTTAGCAAGCTAATAGTTGCAATCGGTAACAAAGTTTACCCGAAAATACGTGGAGGGAAACTTGACATTGGCTAAAAGACACCAAAGAAAAGTGAAACAGATAGCGCGGAAAGGTTAGGTTAGTGCTGATTACATACCATGTTCGGCTATCCGAATGGAAGTAGTAAGAGGAACCATCACGACGATGCACAACTGGAAAACCTCCCGTTCCGAACGTTAACGAAAGGTAACCGGTAGAGGAGGATGGTGACCCTGAAAAGGTGACAATTAGAAAAGTTTAGATAATTGAACTGTGCAACCACTTGAATGAAATAGATTCGAGATTGTGACCTACCTCGAACCACTTCGCGAACGTTCGTTTCGACCAGCAGTTGGGGAAACACGGGAGATGAGCAAAGTGACGAATTTAAAGTAGCAATATCAGGTGGGAAACACAAGTGCCAACTGATTAACCGTCCAGACTGGCACAGTGCTGTTAGACGATAATCAGATGAAGAGGATGGTGAGAGTTTTCGAGCCGGAACGCGAATGTCTGTGCCAGAAACTACGCTATGAAGACGGCTCAGTTGCGGATTGGAATCACCGGAGGGAGTAACACGTGACTGACAGCCAGGCTGTTTTGCACCATCCCCATCTCCAAGTGGGGTAAGAGAGAGATGATGTATGGAGGAATCCAACAGGAGCGGAGGGCAAACACGAGCACCAGTTCCATAAAGCAGTTGAAGACGACCACCAGAATCCCCGAAGGAGATTAGGTTGCTTTGAATAAAGAAAACGGTATGAGGCGTTCAACACGGATTGATGATGACCAAATCTAGTCACGGTCTAATAGGAGGAAAACTCCTGTTAGCTCACTGACTGTGAATAGCTAAAGCTAGGACTAGTTCCTCTTCCCCATTTCCCTTCTAAGATATAATAATAATATAATAATAATAATAATCGTTCAGCTGTAACACTCTTTCGGTGCCTAGCTGTCATGTCAGCCGGAGGAAGCGCGAGGGCTGGGATACTGCCAGGTCGCCCAGGCCTAGACAAGGGAAGTCGAGTGGAAGAGGTCCGGTTCGTACCACGGACTTTCCGGTCAGTAAATTCGCGCTCTAGCCACTTGAGCCATCTCACCCTTTTTCTAAGATATGGATGTTAAAAGACGTGGTTTGAAGGTACGGCAGTGAGGTTACATTGTTGTCAACTGAAACTAACATCATAGTCAGTACAGACTGAACGCAAACGTTTTACAACCAAGGTGACATCAGTAGCTGTAGAAGAATGACACCAGGAATCTCGCTGCAGGCTACCCTTTCTTAACTGCCGAGACGCGATGTTTTCCGTGAAAACTTCAAGACTTTATAGCTTCTACTTACCGTTATTGCCATGTACAAAATCAGTGTCGCAAACTTGAATCAATTTACTAGCAATAATTCTGTTAAGATTAGGCACCCCCATGTCTCGTTCCCACCATACGGCTAGCCTTTTGACCAACAGTTTGGTAGAGGTAAGACTTTGTTCCCCCTGGTAAATAAAAATGCAATGAACACGAAACAGGTGTTGGAATAACTCTTGGAAGCAACCCCAAATTGTTCAAAATAATATAGAAGTTGTAGAACTACAGATTCCGTACAACTTATGTGTACTACCCATCGAAACAAATCACCAAAACCACAATAGCGAAAGACCTATTCCATCGGAAACTATCGGTGTCTATGTTCAAAAATACTCAATCAGATGACTTGGAAAGATGACAGGAATGCGTTGAGTCAACAGGTGCAACAAGTGAAAACAGCAGCAAGGAAAGTGGCGAACGACAGAGGTGTCAATGTCAATTCTGGCCACACCAGTCATCACTAGGCGAATGTTACTTAAAGCTGACACTCACTCGCTATAAGCATACGCAGTTAAACGGCAATCGTTGGCAATTTCCCACAATTGCCGCTCATTACGAGAGCCAGTAATCCGAAATATACCCGGAGATTCTTGAGGCCGAGTTGGAGCGGCGCCAGTCCTTCCGACCAGCTCGATAAGCAGTGGGCCATCGATAGGATGAGAACAGACAAATTGTACTTTGCACTCGTTTGCCAGCTGATCAGGTGTGGTGATGATAGAGTGGATGGAAGAACTTGCGGAAGGTTGTGTAGATCCGGCTAATCGAGATTCTAGCGCGGAACTTTGTGTCACCCCTGTTGATAGGAAGAGCGAACGGAACGAGTAAAATACGTGCATCAAAAAGGTTACCATACAATACGTAGTTACGCAACAAAAAGTCACCCACAAGTGTCACAACTGAACTTCGACAGGAGTGTAGAGGGACAGACAATTTTCATCGAGGGCTCAAGGGAAAGTCAAACCATCAACCTTCCGACTTACTGTTCCTGGAACTGGTAGCGTCATGGCAAGTAAAGAAAAAAAGATTGATGAGTCAAACTCACCAGAATGAATTTCTGTTTTATCACGTGACTTTGGCGACGCAGAAACAGATGAGGGATCCGCAGTTTTACTCTGAGTTGTACCCTTTTTATCATTTCCGCCAGCGGTTGGCACCTCTTCAGCATCCTCAAACAACCGAACTCTGCGACGTTTCCGTTGTTTCCCAACTGGTTGACTTCTACTTCGTGGTTCGTTCTCACGCGCATCTTCTGTAGTGACTGGGACTTCCGTATCGATATCGGTGAATGCGCGCTTTCTTTGATTGACTGGCTCTGGACTGGTGAGGTTATCCGGGGAAGTTGAAGGACCATTGACTGCAATCGTAACGACGCGCGGTGAGGACGGTGGTGGCGACGTCTTTGATACCAGGCCGTTCAAATCTGAAGGTTTTTGCAATTCAGTGTCTTCTCTACGGATTCTGCCGGGTAAAACATCACAAATATTTACATCGATTTTGCTCCCTAAACGAAAAAACGGAGTCACCTGTACTGGGTGACACCTGGTATCACCTGGCTCGATCATCCTGTCAACGAAGGGCACATGTTGCGAATTAACCAGCGCACTTAAACGAAGGGTATAAAAATATCTATACTAGTTTTAACTGCCTTGTGTACCTTCGCAGATTGCCAAAGGATAATGAATGCACTGAACCAAACTATGGCGGAAATGAAGCCAGTGTGATCAACGTGCAGTTGTGACATGAACCTTCACAGTAGAATTGAGCTAACGCAGAACTAGTAGTCCATGCGACCAAAGATTACCCACAGAAAGCGAGTGCTGCTTTTGATGGGCTCATACTAGCAGGTAGTTTTGTAGTTACCTCGAGGTGTTGGGAAAAACGAAACAAAAAATAATGGGTTCCTCCCTCTTGAAGCCTCAAGGCAATTGCAATAGCCACAAAAATCATCAATACTGACTAATCTATATCCGTACTATTTCTCCACACGCTTTGCTACCACTCATATTGTGAGTAAGCGAAAAGCGTCAAAATTGATCGAGCGCCGATTCAACTGTTGCGTCGGTGCCACGTTCCTGAGGTTTTTAACTCCGAGCTAGCCAGGGACCACAAAGCCTGGCAATTGCTACCGCGAAAGGAACCACACACTATCCTTCGAACCCAAGGTTAAGCTACAACACCACCATTGCTGAGTTCAGCGGAGAGTTTTACGGTTCCGATCATGAGAGGAGTATAGCGCCGTTCCCTACAACATTTTGTGGTTCCACATAGGGATCCACAGGCTAACTTGCAAGCACATACGCCCATGCACATATGGACATAAAACAGCACTGTGACCAGTCTAAACGCGTACAAAAGCGTGCTTAAAACGTATCTGCCGAAAAAAATATTCGTGGATATACTCACGCAATCAGTTCGTCAGAGTCTTCATTATGAACAAGTTTTGCGTTCGTAAATTACGGATGCGTAATGTATTTGGAAGGGATAAAAGGAAGTAAAAGTATTTCGCTATTGCCGCTTTCGGCCAAGCTGGCTTGTACAGGAGCTCTGCCAAAGTAGAAACCATGGAATAGGACGCCCTCAAGTGGACTCCACCAAAACCTCATGAGTCCTATCAATGAATCAAACCAGATCAGACACCAGGATCACCGGTTCGACGACGTGTCGAACACATTTCGACAATCGTTCACCGTAACCAACAGCCATCTTCGTGAAAAGTGCCACACAAGCAAGGCGAGTGACAGTAGCTTACAAATGACCTAACAGAATGACTTTCGTGAGTTACTCCCATTATCTGGTCATAGCTATGTGGGTCTTCACCTGAAGTGGCCTCTCAGAAGGTAAACATTCAACGCTGGCTCTCACAAGACAATGCCCAGGTGGTCCTAGTTAGGGATGTCTCAATTCGATGGGTAAACATATACTGGATGGAAAGGCTGGCCATCTCATTACACCAGAATGCCATTGAGGGCAAGGAAACACGTTCATACCAAGGTACACATAAAAACTCAAATTGGACACATCAATGAACTCACGGAGACCTGGAGGTGACTGATCCCAAACGTACCGCTTCGACAGGCCGGTTGGGCTTAAAAAGAGTTGGGCATCAAAAAGAGTTAGTAAATCTGAAAACAACTAGTTCATGGACACAAAACCCATAGGAAACAAAGCTTGCAGAAACAACCGGAATCACAGGCACCACAGTAAGTGACAGAAGTAGCAACAAGTGTTCAAGGCCACGAAACCTCACTGAAGTCCAACAGTAGTGAGCCATTTTGGAAAAGTCAACCTTAAATTAATAAGAACGGTGAAGAAATATACTGGAACCAGTCCTACACAACTCTAGACCTTATCCTGCAAGTTCAGTCAACCTGTGCGGAAAAGTCCAGTAGCACTTTGTAACTGTTCCTTCCTTGTTGGAAATAATCATCAGTGTACACCTCACGATCATCAGGAGCACTTCCAACTCGCAAACCCCTGACAAGGAAAGGGGTGCTAGTACCCAGATGTGCTTGGTTGGTTGGTAGTGTATTCGGCGTGCATGTAGACAGGACACAACATTAAGCACATTTCAATCAGCCATTTTATATCTGCTTTTGTCGGGCTCATCAGGTGACAACTTCCTAAACAGGGAGTCTGCATGGCCCATAGGATGTTTTCTATTCTGGATGAAATAACCAGTTTTCAGTTAGTCATAAGCATACAACGTCACGAAGAAGCTCCTGAAATCACAAGAACAGCTTTCAGCAGAGTAAAAATAGCAACCTTGGAAAAAGTTGGTTTTCAAGACGCACCAGATAGGACTGGGGTTCAGGGAAATCAGTTGACTTCGCCTGAGGAGTCTTCCTGCCTTCTTTGGATACCTCAGGTGATGCCGAGGTGGTTGGTCCGTTTGAATTGGCTTCGTCTGAGTTTACGGACGATTTACTGTTCTGACTGAGTGCAGAAGCAAACTGGGCTCGCGAATTCGGTTCCTCGTCCACACTGTGGAGTCAAATCAGGAAATTCCAATGAGGAATCGGCGAGCACATGTCAACAGCAGAGAAAAAACGTGCAAATAAACCAACCTACTTGTCTAAGTGACCAAGAAATTTGGGTATGATCCGGCGACGTCCGTCCTTGCTCCTGGTTTCAATTTGCTTCGATGGCTGCTAGGCGAAAGTTGGAGGATAGTAAAATGGCAGTTCCCGGCAAATTACGATTGAGGACTAAAACAACATGATCAAGGTGTACATTGACTGGTCTCCCTTTGAGAAAATTTTCGAATCAAATTGTTGACAGTGGACGGGTGGTAAAACACGTACAATGGTTATCCGGCTAAATGCGTCCCACTGAGGCCGGAGCTCATCTGTTGAAGGTAGCAGGTTGACTTGAACCCGTGAGCTTTAAAACAGCTAGCCAACAGTTCGTAAAGTTTAAACGGGTGACGAACAATATGTCGAGACGCAGGTGGACTATTCGCAAGGTGCTTTCAAGAACAAGACAAGGAAAGGAGTGACTTTGGATCCCATTTGAATATTCAGGCCTAGAATGGCCAGAAATCCATGTTTCTAAAAGCTAAATTTCAAGATCAACATTCTATATCCCAAGCAAACCCAAATTTTGACCTAATCATAGTTGGTGCCCTATCTGCCAGCATCGGCCACTGCCTATATACCACATTTGGTTGTATACGCATCCGCATAGCATACTCGACAACCTTCGCTTCTGCATCCAAACAATTCCACTGTAAGTCACTAGCCTTCATTTGTAACGAAATTTAAAAACTAAATTGGCTTCAAAAAACTACTATTATGCCACACAAGGGAAAGAGTTTCTATTCTTGTGTTCTAGGATTCTTGCTACGAGACACCCAAATACCTCACCGTTGGGAACCAATGCTTCACAAGGTAAAACCCTCTATACTCGAGGTTGAATGAACACAATGGTTTCTATGGAGGAGGGTGTCGATAGCTCAGGTAGCGTAGATGGTGGTCGTTAGTTTGTTCGCTAAGCTGGACAACTTGATTGCAAACGTTTCATCACCAATCGAGGTGATATCATCAGTGCGTTGTTACGGAGCGCAGCAGAGCGTAGCGATAGGTCGGCGTGTTTTAAAATCACCCAACCGGAAAGCACCTACATGGATAAAGGCAATTCGTTTAAAAGAAATACAAATGCCAGGCGCTAAAAACAAAACCTTACCCCAAGTGCTACAGGTTTAGAAGTGAGTATGTTTTGTTCACCAGCCTCGTTCAGCCGTTGGCGAACAGCGGCATGTGTTTGTTGTAGGGCAAGTGCTTCCGGCGTTTCGAGAATGATATTAGATTGATCGAGCCCACCAGATAATGACTTGCCACCGGTGGAAACGGAGATGGGTAGATTGTGTGAAAGCTCGGCTAATTCACCCTAGGGCAAGTCCGGCGTTTCGAGAATGATATTAGATTGATCGAGCCCACCAGATAATGACTTGCCACCGGTGGAAACGGAGATGGGTAGATTGTGTGAAAGCTCGGCTAATTCACCCGCAACGAGCTTGTCCAACAGACTCTGGCCGTAAGATTTGTGGTGCAATCGGACCTATGGAAAGGGGACCAAGAAAAAATGCGGATCCAGAAGTCCCAAAAAATAACTTCACAGTACTAGACTAGGAACAACAACGCCTGGACGTTAAAAAGTACAGACTAGGTTTAAATTTCCCTTCCATACAAAAACATCCATTTATCGGAGCTTCCACGGTGTAGAAGTTGATAGAACTGCTAGAACGTTGCACCAATGTGAGCGTTTAATTCGATTGGTTGCATCACTTAGTTAGGGGCCAGATAGAAAGATACTGACAAAACCGTGTACTACACTAGCCAAGAGCGTTGGTCTACGAGTAAGCGTGAAAACAGCATAAAGATGGAGATTGTCGTCAGCCACGTATTACATTGCAAAACCAAAGCGTTCAAATTGAAGACAGCTGAAAAGCTAATCCGTATATTGATGCACTTGGGTGGGAAGAAACAGAAAGACCACTGTAAAACCCAAAGTGCTGCTCACTACTACATCAAAACTTGAAAACGGGATGAAAGTCAAACCTGATAACGATAAATAAAGGGACTTGGATCTTAACATAATACGGATGCTGGAAATAGGCGAGAAAGTCTCTCGCTAATTGTCATTTTACGCTTCACATAATGGGGAGATTTGCAGAACTGGTCACAAAAATAGGTCATGATGACGGGACAATCAATTTGGAGGCCAACTTTACGTAAATTCCTTTTATCGCTTTGGCGGTTGAGCACATACATTATCAATCATACACATGATCACATTTGCCCCTCCCTACAAGATCCCAAAGAAGTGCTGCATTTCTGGAGACATCACCTTTTTTGAAAGGTACTGCTAAAAAAGGCCGGAGCGTTGTGAGATAGTAGACCGCAGCAAGTTTGATTACCTGGTCTGAGGCNCCACAGTATCTTTAGTAAAACACTCCGGCCAGCTACAGCAAGCAACACACGTCAACAATTCTCAACATCATTCCACCCAACCGTACGCTACCACACCCTGTTCTTCGAAACCCTGCAATGAAATTCGGTACATCTATGACTACTGGTTCTGAGTGGCACCGTCACCACCTACGCTACCTATCAACAGAAACTAAAGCGGGTGAAGTCCACGTGTTCCGCAACCATCTACGACAAATCTAACTTTCATCTTTTCGGCATCCCAATAAAACAGAGTGCCCGAGTTTGTAACTGCGATTGGCGCACACAAAAAAAACACTGGCCACTGACCAAATCTGCTGTGGGCCAGGGAGTTCCAAGTTCGGCCTCCGTGAAACCCATGTAAGAAACTGTACCATCCAGCGAACAAGCCATCAATTCGGAACCGGTAGAACTCCTGGTTTGGGAGGATGGGAAAAGTGAGGAAATGGTCAGGAAGGCAACCAATGCGCTTACAAGACATAGTGACGCTGTAGTGTCACTCACTCAGCTTCCTGACACAAAAATAGCTGTTATCGCAGAAATGTGAGTGGCCGGAGAGAGTTGAAAGAAAACAGCTAAAATTTTCAGTAAACCCTTCACAAAAGCTTTTCATTCGATTATGCTATTTGGGTTGGTTTTAATCAAATGTGAAGAAGGACCTGAGAAACACATCAATTCGGTGGCAAAACATAAATGATCACTTGTCACACATGTAAATGCATTTAACGTTATGTTGCTTGAATGTCATATGGTGGTGGAATGCAAAAAATTCCATACACTGATTCAATACGTATTTATGATTTCAGTCCCGTAGTAAATGGGTTTCGGTTTCCACAGGAAGGCTTAACGATGTCCGTGAAAATCATCAAAAGATGATAAATACGACCACCAGTGTTACGCACAAAGAACGCATAGCGAATTCGGAACAGCAACGAAGAACTCACCAAGTGAGATCACACACAGAATTCGTGAACAGGTCGTGAATGACAACCAACGCCCGACGATCAGCGGTTGTCTAGCAAGTAAGGGTATATTATAAACTTGAGGGTACTATAACAGAAACCGTAGGACGACAAAGAAGGGCAAAAAGCATAAATGGAACTTGAATCGGAAAAGAGGAAACTAAGAATTTTGAAATCTACAGCAGGCGAACACGTTCAAAGCAAAGCACCACAAAATAGGCAAAAAGGCTCTAAAGCACTGGTTAAAAAAGTACGAAAGAAGTGCATGAAATAGCCACTTACCCACACTGAAACAGACCTATCTTTACTACCCAACGCGAGGCATACTAAATCCTGAAAATGGAAGAAAAAGAAAGCACTGTGCAGACCATTTGTCCTCAAACTACTTCCCATGATTCCCTCTTAGTAAGCGACCTAAAGCTATTCCTCCATCCCATCGGCGCTGCCTAATGTAATGTTCACATGAGTGACTAGAATCTAGTAATGATGGTGGCTCCTAAATTAACAAAACGGATTAAAGCTTGATTACTTAGTGGAACATCATAGCGGGCCAAGTGGAATCGTGTCATAAACACAGAGCATGAGATTCAAGTACCGATTACTTCCGAAGCAACCAAGACTGTTGCGATCCACACTATTGGAATTCGGCTACATCATCCGCAACTTTGCGTCCAAAAGAAACTTGTGTAGCTCCGTAAACTGGCTTTGGCGTCGTTCGTCCAATTCCTTAAACCATTGACTTGTGAACCACTCGCTTCTTTTTGGAGTATCCGCCAGTGAATGTCCTGTAACCGTTGCATGTGACCTTTAACCGGTGTCATACGTTAGTCATAAAGCTTAATCACAATTAAAAAAAAACTTCGTTCGTTAGTCTCGTTCTTCTCGGGGACCAGCAGAAGTGACACATTGGATGGGAATAGAGCGGGAGTACGAAAAGAGTCAGTAAAGTAGCCACGATCCTTGAAAATTTAATGAAATCAATCTCGCCGGCTTCAAACGCTCGTACAATAGACACTGGGGAAGCTAAAATCCGTAAAACTGTGACCACCATTCCCCCTTTTGAATTCTCTGCCCTGTGGCAGACAAAATTGCCACGACAGAATACACTAGTAGCCGACTACACGTCGGATTTGTTGAACATTCACCCTTTGTTCTTCCTACTTTCAGTCGACTGACAAACTAGCTACACTACCAAGGGACCACAGATGTGACCTAACGATAAGCAACCCTATTTGGAAGCACACACATAGCCATAGACTTCATAACTTGTAGTCACCATTATGAATAAAAGTACCGTGTGGCCAAAGGAGATCTCCTTGTCACTAGCAAGCGACTGTGCACGTAGGCATCGTCATACGCAAGAATGCGTTACAGCAAGCCTAAAGACCATCATCTCAAAAAGTAACTGATGACCGAGGTGATCACTTACTTGCGTTTCACTTTTTCCGGATTTTCTGAAGAGATTCGGCGAGTAACGCTGAAACGAAGTGAGAAACAAACATATAGGGACTAAGTTATAAAGGCAATGAGGTAAGAGAAAAATGTCGCAGGTTGAAAGGGAAAAATTTGACAACAGAACAGGGTTGAGTTCTGGAAGGTGAGGTCAGCTGAAATTGTCGGTAGTGTGGTATGTACCGTGATAGCGAAACGACACAGTCATATGCAAGTAAATCCAATGGTTCCGGTGTCTGAATGTCAAACCGCTACCGTCGACAGCAGCATCAGACTACCGCTTGAAAGCGATAAATATGAAACCAAATGCGGTCATCGGAAGGAAGAGTGGTCATCATCTGAATTCCACTCGACCTCAACCCCCCCTCAAACTAAATTGTCCGAGCACTCATGACTCCACAAAGACCAGGGAAAATCTACCAGTGGTAACCGAGGAGAATCATCAACTGAAGCACCCTGAAGTGGAAGATTAACGAACCAAACCCAATCGGAATTAATTTGAACCCCACCCCCCAATTCACCAAAGCACGATTTTGACAATTTCACTAACCAACAAGAACCGTTAACTGACACTCTACACTGATCTAGTGTGATCATCTGATGAGGACTGGCTTACTGATTGGTTCCCCGTCTGCCTCATAACCTGGCCAATTTGGTGACTTGCTCACTTGGCCTGATGAAGCTTTTGTGTCAAAAGCGAAACGTTGCCTAAATAAAAACTACCGATTGTTTATCAAGCTCTTCTGAAACCAAATACAATTACCTGTAGATAACTTCCAACCTCCCACGTACCCTGTATCACTGCTGGCACAAAGCAGTCCTCAACCAATACAGATGGCTAACGATGATTCACCGTACGGCACTACGATGAGTGGTCGAATGAAGCCAAACCCTGTGCAGACTACAGACTCTAGCCTAGAAGCTGTAGGGAGTCCACAGGCTCAAGCTTACAAGTGTAAGCTCTATTCCCCTCCCTAGCGGATTGAACTGAATGAAATTTAGACTCGGTTGAACGCTGAGCGACGGTATTTCCACATCAAAAGTCGTCCTGGAAGTAGGGGAAGGTTTAACAGAGGCACCATTTGGGCGAGCCATACAAGCAGCCATAGGAAGGCGCGTTTCCAGCATCCCAGTACAACAGAAATGTGATGTGAACGTGTTCAGATCATGAGCATGTACCTACCGCACAAATCACGTGCTTTCGGTGCCCGACTAAATCGAATGCTGGAACCCAGTTGTTGCGGTCGATAAGTTTAGTCGTTGGAAAACCGTTGTTGATTGCATGCGGGGCAGCTATGGTGGACCCATCCAGACTCCATGAGATTCTCATCACCTGACTTTGTCCAACAGCCTGAAAGGAATACAAAACAAAAATGAGAGCTTGAGATTACAGTCATATTCTCGATAATTTGCTGCAGCAATCGCTGGTATTATTAATTCGCCGCAGCTTTGGATTGATAATCGAATGAAAATGAAAAGAAAAAAAGAATCACGGTGTTTGTGAAGGAGAGGCATATCCCTGAACATCGTAGACGACCACGTTCTTTTGATGGCACCATGAAAAGTCAAACTGCCATCCTCTAACCGAAATTGCTCGACCCTAGTTTCAGTGACCGAGAATAGTTACACTGTTAAGATAATCCTGTAGCACAGAAGTTGCTGTGGAAAATAGCCGAAAATGTCATCCTGAAACAAAACTAATAGGACCTTTGTCTTTATAATCAAAGCCTCACTGAAGTAAACATCTATCGTGAGTCATGGGCATTCTCTTAAAGAGCGGCATCTAAGTGAACGCCGATGCATGCTGCTGCACAAAATCATGCTACTGTGGCTACACCCAAAGACCATCGCTCACGCAATCCGGTAGGAAGTGACAGTAAGGAGGACACGGGCCAGTTAGTCAACACATATCGCAGCATCTCCAGTTAATCACAAAAAACACGGGCGACCACATCTCGGAAGCGGCCAGCACGAATAGCCGCCCATGATCGTTCTAGTGATTCCGGATGGTTCTTCGTAATCTCCTTCAACCAATTCGCACGCTGCATTCAGAATGGGACAGATCTCGTCGAATACCGTACAGGCTTCTGGTACCTCAAAAGCACATTGCCTGTTGGTTGAAGTGTTGACTATGAGACGAGATTCTGAACTGACAAGGCTAACGAAGTTTTACACAGACCCGAGTAAAGGACACAAAGGAGACGAAATTTTCGGCCCGAAACCAAACAATGTGTCCTTATGGCAGTGGTTCTGTTCTATCTCAAGTATGGCAGTAAACAGCACCACGTGGTATTCTGTACTTAAGCAGCTTTGCCATACACTATGTATCGACTGGACTGACACCCAGATTACAAGGGTTCTCCATGGAGTAGGCCGCGACAGCGTCCAGTTGATAGCCCTATCCGAGGGTTGGGAGTTATTTATTGGATGGAGGAAAACTGGATTGTGAAGCAGATGCTGTATGAACAAATGAACACACAACAACTGAATCCTGGCGGACACGCGGTCGAAAGTAGAAAATCTACTAATATTGATCCTACAAAATCGGCAGCTGAAACGCAGAACCTCCCAACTAGTGGCATTCGTGTGGATTATCACCTTGCTCCTTTTTCGTTCAGTTGTGTCATCAAGGAACCATGAATCTAAGTGTTGAAATCAAGTCTGGAGAGAGATTAATGGGGCTGGACTATGTGACATTAATTTGTTGTTTGATGGCTAAACAGGATATCGAAGGGTTTCAGCACGCGTTTTGGTATTTAAGTGCTAGTACGTATTACTGGCATATTGATACCAGTGATGATGACAGTGATGGCAAACAAGCGGTGAGCAGGGGTCGATATCCTAGCAAAGCAAGTCACCAGTCCACCCGAAGTAAGCATCACTAAGTTCATATGCTACATTATCTTTTCGCGGGCCTGTAAATGTCAAGTTCCAACACCTGTCAGCGTAAAGTTAGAGGCGACTGCCCATGATCAGCACCTCATAGAGCTTTACTAACTATAATGAAATTAAAATAATAGTTCAGCTTTAGCACTCTTAATGTGCCTAGCCGTCGTGCACTCCGAATAAGGCACGCGAGCTGGGGTACTGCCAGACTGCCCAAGCCTAGACAGGGGAAGTCGAGAGGCAAAGGTAGGGTTGAAACCATGGACCTTCCAGTCGATAAATTCGCCCTCTAATCACTGAGACATCTCACCCCCAAATCCGGCCTATTACTAGCGCAGGCCACCACTCAACTATTGCTCCCATGAGTGAATAACCCGCGTGGACAATCTGGACAGTCCGAAGTACAAAACTAGATGTGACTGTGAGCATGACTAGCATGGCTAGCTACGCTTGTGTTATGAATTTTATGCCATTATGAAAATTGCGGACCAACAGGCGATCTTCCGCACATGCTGAGTTTCACTATCATTGTGCCCACTTGATCCGAGTATTGTGGTCAGTAGTTGGGCATGCTGACGGTTCCGGAACTGCCCCCCTGCTATTCAGCTTCGGGTCGTATTCCATAGACCTGTTACCAGGCAAAGAGAACTCGGATGGTTATACGCTCGGCCACGTGCAAACTGCGTATGGTATTAATAACCCCGCATGAAAGTTTGCCGGCGTGGTTCGATGTGACGGAAGTGCATCTTTTGGCAAACAGTGCACACAATAGGTGGCGTCACGGGGTTGTAGCTGTCCTTCAGCGACGAGATTTAATAGAAAAACTGAGCAAATGTGGTTACAAAAATGACCTGAAGATGCTACCAAGTTTCATGTACCCACTAGAGTTGAATAGCCTGTGTACATTGCGCTCCGGAGTATGTACCATGTAGATGAACTGGACCAAAGTAAATCTGTTGGCTGAAGTTCAGGAAAAATTAAGTGTACAGCAGTTGTGTTGCCGTCATTAGAGATCACGGTGACATTTCATCAACTCTCCACTTCGTTGTTTCCACTTATCTCTGTAGTCAATCCATGAGATAAAAAACAAAAGCAGCTTTTTCGTGTTTGTCAGTTCACTGATTTTACAAAATAGCAGTGGTCCGCGTATGGTAAGAACCAGAGTTGAACATGAAGTTTAGATATCTGAGAGAAAATGTCCTGTTCGACGAGCATTCTCTCTTCACTCCATATTGCAACAGTAAGTCATGTTAGACGCATAATCGAGGATTCTCCGCCTTCTTTGAAGACGGCGTTCACAAAATTGATGAAACCTCGTCTACAGCCCTTTACTTCTATCCTGTAGAGGGCAGCTAAGGCGAAACCCGTGGCGCACCGCTGATGCGTTTTGAAGGACAAATTCTTCCATATGTGGAACAACGGTCCAACTGAACCCAGATGTACCTTTCGTATTGCAAATTTGATTGAGGAAACATATAAACGCGCCATACTCTAACCTCATCCCAGTTCGCAAAAAAATGTTTCAAAGGATGGGGCAAGGATTAAGGGTGTACGGATAAACACTTAGAGGGGACATGCAGATCAAAACGTCTCTTGGAAAATAGTTGATGTGTTAAGGTGTATGAGTGAACTAAATGAGCTTATATAACAAGACAGCCTAAGAAAGACACCAAGCTGGTGAGTTTCGCTTGAAGTTGCCAATTGAACCTATATGAACAAGAAGCGAGAAACCTACAAGGCTACCCAAGACACGGCCTCCATTGATTGAAACTGAGCAGTAGTGTAATAAACAAAAAAAGGAGTCTGACCTTGACAAATGGCTTCCTGATCACCGCCTCCTCCCTCCAATCTGCTGTGCGCCAAACTTTCACGGAAATCTCATCACCCTGACTGACTAAGTAACGTCCAATCGGGTCCCAGGCAACGCCTTTGATGAAGCCTTGATTTCCGTGGAGTGTTGCGAGCATGACGAATGGTCCAGAGCCAGGAGCACCGGAAGTGGATTGGCGACACCAGACCAGGATGTTGTTATCAACCCCGGCAGAGGCTAGTTTGTAACCGTCATGGGACCAGGCCAAATCAAGTATATCTGGTGGAAAGGTGGATGCACAAATCATATAACTTCGGCTTGAATAATCCCTTCGATGATTAAGTCCTCGGAAAGTACCGGCATAAACCAAAACATGGTGAGTCAGCCCTCAATTGAAATCAACACCATGCGAAAGTAATGTGCCGTCTTATAGAGCACCTTTGTGCGCCCAACTCTGTCAATATTCAAACCATTGCAAGCCCGAGTGAAGTCCTGAAGACTGAATGACTGGATGCACCAGTGAAACTCAAAAAAATATAAATTTTCGAATCGCCCTAAGCTTCGGAGCACTGGGCATAACTCAAGCACCCACAAATTCACTTGATTTACGACTTGAGGGTGGATTCTTATAACAAAACAAAAAGCAACGACATTCCCACATATGATTGGATGCACCATGAAACTCAAAAAAATATAAATTTTCGAATCGCCCTAAGCTTCGGAGCACTGGGCGTAACTCAAGCACCCACAAATTCACTTGATTTACGACTTGAGGGTGGATTCTTATAACAAAACAAAAAGCAACGACATTCCCACATATGATTGATTAATCAGGGCATTGGGCAATAAGCACAGTGTTTTCAACTTCACGACAACCACACTGAGATACGTACCTCCTGTATGGCCACGGAGCACTGAGGCGCAGCGCCAGTGTTCAGTAAATTTTGTCTTCTCCTTCAACCCGAAAACTGTAGTTTGCCGGGAAGCTGCTCTGAGAATCGAAAGTGGACAGATGATACGATTGCTCACAGACGGTAGGAAAGTGGAGAACAGGTAGAAAACACTACTGACATAGGGACTTACGAAGTTTTCGTCCACAACATGACGACTTTATCCATCCCAGCTGAGGCTAGCCAACATCCAGAGGGAGACCAACGTACACAATTAACGCAAGCTGTGAATACAAGTTAAACAGAACAGTTTCGAAAGGTAGACTATTTAAGGTGAATTTTAAATAAACACATCAATACGTAGAGTTTCGTAGCCACCAAATGTTTCAGGACGAGAAAACCCGTCGACATTGCAGTGATAAATGTAGACATTGGTAGCATGAGGATATTTTGGAATTCGGGCTACTAATGAAAGATGGCACTACAGCTACATGTAAAATACAAGTGTACATAAAGTCATGCGGCAGATTCTTAGGATATCACCTGCGGCAGGCCGAAAATTACGGACAGAAACGCACAATACGTCTCGTATAAACTCGTCAGGCATGCCGTCGGTGCTATCGTACAACACAAAACAAAAAAACCGATTTTTCGACTGGTCGAAGAAGCATTTCGAAAATTCAGCATCGGTGGGATTGCTTGAACCCCCTTCAACATAAAACACGACCCAGCAAGCACTGAAAAAACGACCTCGAAGGAGGACCAATATACCAATATACCAATATACCATACCTCATCCTAGCAACGTGTGTTGACTTGACGGATTCTTCGACAGCCTCGATAATACTGATTCCATCCAAAAAAGACAGCCCGTTAGTAATCATGCATTTTTCTTCCTCGACACCGGAGATTTGTACGAGTGCTACAGAATCTGTGAGGTACTGGTAATACCAGTGACCAGTTAAGCGACGAATGCTGTAACGCATTTGCGTAAAAGTCAAATCATCCAAAGCTTATAAACTCTGATCATCCGATCTGGATCGCATTGCTCTTCGATCGTTAGGATGAAATGTATCCATCTCAAATATACAGACCTTTTCTTCGAGTGACTTGACATACGGCTTCTTCGTATCAAGTTCCAATCATTCGCTTTTTCCACTGTACTAAGATTTTCTGTCCTCGTATTTGTGTGACAGTTAAGTACCAGAACGTACGATTGATGCATTGATGTCACCCATGATGATGATTAATTTGAGCCACAACACATTTCACGAACTGGCGATTAGGAAGTTATACTGTTGGAATGTGCCGTGTTTGGATGACAGCGTTGATTAGACAAAGCGAACACTACCTAGGAAGTAAGTTAGGAGATTGCCTTTCCTTCATCCTTACATCAATAAGACTCCGGTGCGATCGAGCTCAAACTAAAAATGATGGTTCTCTCAATCGTGTTATCACCGGTTTTTCACCCACGTACACAATCTGCTCAGCCCCGATGAACTCAGAATGTCACAATTTGGTGCGGCAGTCCTCATGAATCAAATCATATTCTCTAAGTGGGACACCACTATGCGCGAATGGATTGGTCACGGTGTGTATGGAATCGCGTGACAACTAAGGCGCATGGGTTGACATACGCCAATCCGGCCAGGCGTTGTTGGAGTAATACTACTTCGTTGTGATAAGTTATTCTTATAATGAAAACAAGAAAACGTCCTGTCAACTGAAAAGACAAAGCAAATACCTTCCCCATTGTGGCGCACAGCATTAACCATGTGACAACTGCAAAGTAGTGATGTTCGTCCTCTGCGCATTACCACCATCCGTATTCACACGTCATTCGATCAGTCAGTAAAACCACAGGCAGCCTCCTAGCGACAAACTGTTTTTGTACATAGTTCACCTAGAGACGCTTCATAAAAACATGTTTGTTTCATGTATGTCTCCTACTGTCACCTACTGTCATACTTTCTTCTGTGGCTCAATCGGATGCAAAATTGAAAAATTGCGGTTCATGTGCCCTATGGTGAAACGGGTCCGTGAAGCAACAAAGTAGTATTTAACCGTCCTTCCACGACACAGTCTTAATGGAATCAGACATGTATGTTGTACCACCATCAACAAGTCGTAACAGTGAACCAGATCCCCGAGGAACTGGAGACAACCCCGTGTTTTTAAACAACCCGAATTCATATTTGTGCTTCTTTCTTATAGTTACCCGTGACGTTAACCCATGGTGTTGTAACAAGGTCGACCAGTCAACATACAGAAAGCGTGACGCAGACGGTGTAGGTAGCGTGACCAAACTCAATCCTCGGTCATATAATCGCCGCCTTGGCTCCAACAAGTCGTGCAGACTACCATTTTGCGGCATCTTAAGCTCTCCAAAAATTTGGCGACACCAAACAAATTTACAATATCTAATGCAGATAATCTCAAACAGGTCATCCAGTAGCTCCTGTTGAAAAACTCCAGGACACCATTTAAAAAATACTACTTCCGAATGACATGAAAAGCAACTCTTGGAAGAGACCGCGAACAAGCAATGCCGTAAGGCACGGAGAGTTCGAAAGTGGAACGTTACCTTATGGTTAGATCTCCACAGGTACGCTACAGAGATTGGATCCGAAAAGTTCACCCCACCACTTTAGGTTTTACCCCGTATAACCCAACAAAATACATTGACAGCAAGCGCGCTTGAAAAGGCGCACCTCTCCGTTCGACGGAATGACAAACAAGAGGTGAAACAGCACAAATGAAAAACCATAACACTCGAGGCAAGAAGAGCGTATCAGTCACCTACGATGCTTCTACGGAATATAAGCGCCGTCCCATCACAATGGTGCACAAAGGTCAAAATATCACTTCCGCCAGATGTAAACAAGAATGACCCAAACGAATGCTGAAATCGAAATCAGAATCGAATCATATTGAACACACTAGGGAAGATACACACCTTGATGGCTATCCATTTGGAACAACTTGCGTGGTGTGTTTGGATCCGCCTCTAATTTTGGATCGCGAATGGGTGCCATGTTCCACAAGATCACCACACCACATGTGTCGATGAGTCCACCTGTAGCCAAACGAGAGCCATCCGGGTGAATGTCTAAACTATAGATCGGAAGGCCTTGAAGAAGGGAAGAATCAGAATGATTGATTGGTGATAAACTATTTCATTTGAGAGACCAGAAGCAGACGTAGGTAACCAATTGAGGGACGAGTAAAATAAACGTAAGAGAAAAGACGAACCCAAAAAACAGAAAAATATCGGTAAATGGTTAAAGCTGATATCCATGCAGTGAGTCGTTTTAAATAAACCTATGTTGTATGGACGCTGGGGCGAAATTTATAAAATAGCACGGGATATAGTGGCCTAGAAAAAGGATACGGGCCATGAGCAGTCAGAAACGTTATTACGGGGAATCGAAATTTCCAAAAGCTGAGCTACCAACACAACGCTCGCCGAATTTCGAGCATGAATATCGCGAGGCACGTGAAGGAGGTGAATGAAACTAATTTTAACGAGTAGGAAGCGTACAACGGTGCACCTCAAGGAGGTAGGTGCAACTAGATTCCGCAATGTGTCAAACTGCTTGTAAACAAAAAAGTATAAAAAATGAACGAATAGAGTTAACATTCGCATCACGTTCTGCTCTTGCTACTTCTCCCTCGGAAACTTCCTATTCTGAAGGCTGGGATAGATCCGCTAATTCTAGTTGGTTCCGAAATGGCTGATTACCGAACACTGAATGAAGTAACTGAATTAAAAAATAAAATGCCCTTGAAGACTAGTGTCAAAGGTGTAGTCGTTCACTATGTGTCACGTGCTATATGTATCCGCCGGATTCAACTGAATGACTATTCTGGGGAGTCTGCTTCTCACCATCACTATCATTATCATTGATACTACTAGAGTGAGGAAACTGAAATCTAAATGCGAAAGGACCAAATCAATTTACTTGGATAAGACTCCGGAAGTGCAACAAAAAAAGTGTACATAAAAAGTGCCTTGGCACTAATCCACCCAAAACAGTCCAGATGCCTACACCTAAGAAAGGTTATTCGGATTATCTGAACAGACGATTGATAGAAGCTGACACCGACTAACAGCCTTTAGCAAGGCACACAAAACCGCATCCGGGCGGACGGATAACCTTAACAATACTCAAACATGCTCTATGCCCCTGTTTTTTAACATACTGAATGTACTTGGGCGCACTCGTGATTGACTGTTGCTACGATGCTTCGGTTTCCACAAGGAAACGTTCTCAAATACCTACTACGCCAACGAAATGTTGACCTATCCAAAACTATCACCAAAGTCCAATGTAGTAATGCGGATGCATCTATTGTAACATTCTGGCAGTTGACAGTTCTTAGAACCTGTGGTAACAGAAACAACGCAATAATCAAATATCGATAATTTGATTAATCAGTCCGCCCAGATCTTAGAGGCTTCGATATCAGTCACTGACAACTACCACTCAAAAAACTAATACGGAGGTACGTAGGTGATGAAGCAGTAAAATCATTCCAAAAGCCTTGGGGAAACCAAGCCAGAGTACTCGATTCGGGGACAGACATGGAAGATTTTATCGTGAAGAAAGCTTACCAGTATTTTGATCCTTGGACAACGATCCATGAGACACCCACGCTGGCTTGAGTAACCTCATTCACAGAAGACCTTAAAAAGAAAAAAATTACGTTTTTCAAGGATCAGATGCAAGAACCCTTGACCAAACCGTTAAAAACGCTTAGATACATGCGCTATTGAGCGCGCCACTGGGTCATATCTGTCAATGCCAATCGCCATTGCTGAAACCGGCCACTGGGTCCCCATCCAAGAAGACAGAAACGATCAACGCAACTGATTTTGCTGCATCGCATTCATCTATAAGACGAAGGCGAAGCAGAAGCCTTGTTGAATAAACTGACCACCATAGTACCATTTTGCACGATGCGTCTTGCACTCACGTGCAAAGTCATGCTTCAGAACGTTCAACCTCTCAGCATACTCACAATTCAAAGAGAGACTGGAGATTGTGGAGAACTTTACACACATATTACCTCTGACGGAAATGTAGTTGATGAAGTCGGCGCACGAATCTCCAGAGCCAGAATCACGTTCGATAATTTGCGTCACTTGTTGAGTCACTTAATCCTAAGGGCCACGTGTACTCGGCTAGAGTACAGCCTGTATTGTTGTACGGTTGCGAGGCGCGGCCTCTGAGGACAGATGATGAGGTGACTTCATTTTTTGACCACAGATGTCGGATGTCGTCAACGATTTCGTAAGGAGTTAATCAGAAAACGGGTATTTGTCTATGCAATAGGTGCTATAATCACGGGAAACATCCGGCACCATCGACTACGGTGGCTCAGAAATATGCAAAGCAAGCCGAAACACCATCCACTGAGACGGGTGTTTTATGTGCCTCCTTCAGAAAGACAGAAACCGCGAGGTGGACAAATAATGACTTGACAGAAGGGTGTAAAAGATATTGCGAAAAGTTTGCGAGTTGTTGATGCAAAACGGGTCCCCGTGACCCCTCCTGCGGTGAGGAGTTTAATGCGCACTTACAGTCACTTTCTAGGGGCGACCAGGAATTTAGCGTGCAAATGGCATTAGATCACATGGATACATCAAACAGCTTAACCGTTAAAATTGGTTACTAAACGTGTCTATTGGATTGATGTAACGCTTCTGCTAGCGCCGTAAGTGCTGCACACAGAAAGACCCGTTCTGCCTTTTTTCAACCTAATCAAGCGCTTATACATTGTTACCCTTCCGCGCGACTATACTACAGGTTGGAAACAAGATTCCAAGGCGCAATTACTGCAGTTGAAGCGGCCACTTCATCGCAGTCTAGACATATTCGGCTGCACAACTCGGGTGACGCAAAAACCACTGCGGTTGGATATGACGTGGTGAGTATTGCGCTGAGTCACCGAGTCTGTACTTGAGACGCCTGTACTTGAGTGGTCACGTCCACGCGGCTCACTTGGCAAGGCACCCCAAAGAATCTCGAGAGAAGTCAATCGCTCCCTGTCAATCGTACAGGCTCATACACTGACGTGATGTAGTCCTGAACCTGTCGAAGAGAAGTGCTGCGATGTTCAAGGAGCTTTTAAAACGGCCTAAAAGATCAGACGTCGTTTTGGTTGCTTACGCAAGCAGCCTTATCGTTGATGAGGTCCCACTGAGTGATCGTTTTGGACTCACCGAAGCCCGGTGGTCAGAGCTCGAGATGGCCCAGTGGTTGAAGTGCGAACTTACGGAAAGAAAGGTCCATGGCTAGATCCCAAACTAGACTTGAGTAACTTGGCAGTACCTCAGCTGCCGTACTTTCTTCGGCGGCATGGAAGCTAGGCACCGGAGTTGTATCACAGCTGATCACTATTTATGTTTCGTTCGACACTAGACGGACGGACGATGGAGAACGCCTACCGCAGATATGTGTTGATCACAGACTGTTCGTTTGCGGTGCCAATTTCGGAATCCCAAAATTAACCATGTAGCGCTCGCCACCGAACCAGTCTCTAATCTAAATGCCATCAGTGGCTGGTGTCGGGAATTGGTCACTGCTACTTCCGGACTACCTGCGAAGGCCCTGATCACTCACATGTCTGTTTCCATTTTTTATTGCGCTTTTAAGGCCAACGCAAAGCGGGCGCATCGCGGTTAGTCATTGAAAAGCTCGTGAAGCCAGGGATCAAAAAAAAATATTATAGTCTGTATGCTAGGACGTCGAATAGTAATGATCTCTGTACATATATCCAGCCATACCCGTCACGAGACTGGACCTTACCGGTGTGGCGGTTTGCCACGGCGACCATTGAGCTATACAAGGGGTGTCCGCGCGACACTCAGAGTCTCTCATACCAGGTTGGTCAACGCGTAGCTACCCAAATTTCGAACAAACTGAACATGCCTCCGCCTCCAAGGCTTGGTTGTACGGTGATCCAAACTGTAGCACCTGGAACCAATCTGTCTATGGTACACGGTTTATAGCTGATAAATTAAATTGAATTGAATGGATAAAGGTCTGACGAACACAGTTGGGGGTTGGAACATGTGGCGACGTGCTCCCTAAAAATGGTAATATACTTGCGTTTCCAGCCCAACGCCGCTGCCTTGCGGTCAGGTCCCAGCTCGAGGACTGGCAGTTGTTCTCCCCCTGCATCACACTCAGCTACAGCTTCTGCACGTCCGAGTTCAGCCACAACCATAAACACATCGAAGTTCGTTTTCAAACCCAGAAAGCCACCTTTAATATTCGCTCACTGAAGCGAGCAGGTCAACAGATGGTTCTTGCCCAAACGCTACATTTTCTCTGAATTATTGTATGTTATTTATCAGAAAAACAAGGACGCAGAACGCAAGTACTGTGATCGAACTGACTGCCCCCTCATTCTCTTCCAGGTTACGGCTGCTCACCTCTGGTGATGCAGAAGCCACTGCAACTGAATATACTGGGGTGGGTATCGCAATGAGCAAACGAGCGGAGGCGTCTTGCTTGATTAGACTTACATTGACAGTTGCCTTTGTTGGTTCGTTCGGCAACATTTGTGATGGAATCTAGAGGAAATGAAGTGCATCGCGCCTTGTTTATTGTCTGCTTACGCCCCAACTAAATGTAGGTCTGAATCTGTTTGACGTTCTAGGTGCCCTTCTACAGCCAGCTAAAAGCTCAGATACCGTTGTGGTTGCTGGTGATATGAGCTGACTAAGCGCTGCTGAGGCGCGATTGGATGGGCGTCTTCGTTTGGATACGAGACGCACGGACATCATCATCATCATCAACGACAGCATGACATCAGTGCTCAACACCAATGCTTCACTGCCGTACAACCATGACTTATTTGAAAGCCTTATTGTAAAGAAAAGAATAAAGGTGGATGGGGGAGGGACTTAGTGCTAGCTTAACACAATTATTCCGAGGTGCCTACACCTCCAGACATTCACTCAGGCAATCTGGACAGAAACTGACAACAAGAACGCTACTGACATCGGTTGGCAGCCATATCTTGTAGTGTCTCCAACCAGGCACAGTGAGGATCAGTCCCCATCCTGGAAGGCGAGTAGCATGGACAACGGAGACCGGTTAATTCAAATATCTGCCGGCCACAGACTGCTCCTTTGCAGTACGAATTTCCGGAACAGCGGAAATCGCTTGACAACGTGGTACCAACCAACAAACCAGTCCCGAATCCAAACAGACCATACTGCCATCAGTTATTGGTAGCGAGGGTCGATCAATGCCTGCCACTCCTTCTGGAACATCAGCGTGGACTTCGACTATGCACTTGTACGCCACTCCTTTTCATCGCGGTTTTCAGGTGCACCCAAGACACGCACACCTTGCTTAGCCAGTGAAAAGCTAGTAGACCCACGAGTCACACGAAACTATCACAACCAGCTCCTCGAATACCGTCCGGATATAAACAGCCACTGGGAAAGTATATTCAAGCGCTACTGAAATCCGGAATGCCTGTTTGCAGTACAACCCAGCCAACCTCACCCAACCATTGGATCTCTGATAAGGCCGTGTCTTTGCTGGAGACCCAGCGACAAATTCCACCTGGCCGCCACCACAACTCCACCCGGCGCATCATCCGACACTAGGTGAAAATGCGTGCCCGCGCAGACCGATAAGCTTGGTGGACCCGAAAGGTTGAAGAAATGGAAGATGCCGAGAATTCTGGAAACTTGCGCAAGTTGTTTCACTTGATTCGTTCGCTTGGTCCTCGGAAACCACTTGTCAGCGAAATAATCAGGGACCAAAATGGCCCCCTGATATGCAGCAAAGCAGAACGTTTGGACC